TCATCCATCATTGAGTCTTGTCCAAAGTCCATCAACAACAAGGTCTAAAGGGGAATGAGTTGGTTCTAATTCACAACACAAAGATCATCCACTATTGATTAATTGATTAATTAGCTAGTGAAATTCGCTATTAATCCTGTGCTAAAAGTTTGTCCAGCCATAGAATAAATCGAATAGAATAATATTTTTTCAATTTTAGAAAAATATAGCATTGGAAGCAGACTAGGTAGACTTTAGTCATCACCAGAAATAAGAGTACTTTTTTTTGTTTTATCTCAAAAAGGATTTGAGGGCTTATGGGAAGCAGAAAGGGTGGTGTCTCTACTTCTTCGCAAGGCATATGATGCTGTTCTCCAATGTGATGGTTTATAGTTATCAGTATATGCTTGATCCTAGGGATTATTTCTAAGGAAATGCAGGAGTCTATTGTGATGTTTGATGAGGCTCACAATATTGATAATGTGTGTATTGAAAAGCAGTGTTAATGCACTTGAAGTGTACAGCTAATGCGCTTGAAGTGTTTTAAGTAAGCCATCTAATACACTTGAAAAACATTGCTATGCCCTCAAAAAGTACTGCTAATGCCCTTGAAGTGTACTGCTACTGCACTTGAAATACAGTATTAATGCCACTGAAAAGGAGTTCTAATGCACTTGAAATCTACTGTTAATCCCATTGAAACTAGTATAAAATTTAACAAATGAAATTAAAAAACTACTATAAAATGCAAGGAGAAAAAAGATGATCATAGATCGTGGAGATGGATTGTGGAAGTGTTGGCGAGTCCTTACTTAATTAGGATTTTGGTTCCTTATTTCATTAGAATTTTGATTACTTACCAATTATTATTTAGTCCTATTGTAATAGAGATTTACTTCCTATTGTAATTTAGATATATTTCCTATTTTATTTAGGGACATCTCTTGTACTTGTATAAATACCTCCATATTGGAGAAGAATAATAATATGAGCATATCTGAGCATATTTGAATATTTGCCCTACTTTGTTTGACATGGTATCAGAGCCAGGTTCCGATCCTGTGATAACCTCTGCCAAATTGAGAGTCGTTGGCACTCCTCATTCCTAACCCATCATGGGTCTTCATCTTATGGTCTTTCTTGATGTCTCAGCTTCTCTATCTTTGAAACTTTATAACAAGTCTCTTTACTACGTGAGCCTCGTCACCGCTCACCGAGCCGTTGCTTTCCTCTGTGAGCCTCGTCACCGCTCATCGAGCTGTTGCTTTCCTCCGCGAGCCTCGTCACCGCTCGCCGAGCCTTTCCTTTGACTATTCTGCCGGTCTCTGTCTTCTTTGGCTACTCTCTTGAGTTGCCTTTCCGCTTCTCAGTTTTGAGCACCTTATCTTTGTCTTTGTCTCTGTTCATGATTTGCTGGGTTTCCTCCCTTACTATTCTCCTTTTCTGAAGTTTTTTCTTCATGGGACAACTGTATGTTACCACCTTCCCCTCTTGCATTTGTTTCTGCCATGAGACTGGCATGTTTGAGTCTCTTTACTATTATTCAATTTCTCTTCTTCCAAATCTCGACCCTTTACCAGTGTCGGATTTGAGGGGGAGTGCTGCAACTTTATTTGGGTGTTACTTTCTCCAAATCTCGACTCTCATACATCGTCGGATTTGAGGGGGAGTGACACCGCTGCTCATCTATTCCACTGAAATTTAACCACCTATCTTCCATGGCTGATGTGTTTCCACTGTGGTCATGCTCGTTGACCTTGTCTATGCTGTTGCTGGTGCCAATGCCTTGTATTGTTGTTGATGATGTCTGTTATGTCTTTGCCCTGTTGCTCTTGCTGGTACCAGTGCCTTGTATTGCTCTTGTTAGTGCCAGTATTGTTGCTCCTGCCTGTTATGGTGCCAGTATTGTTGCTCATGCCTTTGTTGGTGTGTTTGCCTTGCCTTACCCTATTTTGTAGGGTTTGGTTTCTGCCTTATCTTCTGCCGTGCTCACAGGGCTTCTGTGTTCTGCCTTACTGCTGCCGTGCTCACAGGGTTTCTGTGTTTTGCTATCTGCCTTACAGGGCTTCTGTGTTCTGCCTTATCTTCTGCCGTGCTCACAGGGCTTCTGTGTTCTGCCTTATCTATTGTCGTGCTCACAGGGCTTCTGTGTTCTACCTTATCTGCTGCCGTGCTCACAGGGTTTCTGTGTTCTGCTATGTGCCCTATTTTTTAGGGTTTGCTCTTGTGTTTCCGCTGCGAACTTTGCTTTAGTTTGTCACTTGTTTCACTCATGGTTGACGAAAAGACCTTCTCTACAATTGGTGCTTCTCAAGTATGGTGTTCTATGACTCGCTTGTCAAGTTGGGCTTGCGAAATATCTTTGCCCAACTTGAGGGGGAGTGTTGGCGAGTCCTTACTTAATTAGGATTTTGGTTCCTTATTTCATTAGAATTTTGATTACTTACCAATTATTATTTAGTCCTATTGTAATAGAGATTTACTTCCTATTGTAATTTAGATATATTTCCTATTTTATTTAGGGACATCTTTGTACTTGTATAAATACCTCCATATTGGAGAAGAATAATAATATGAGCATATCTGAGCATATTTGAATATTTGCCCTACTTTGTTTGACAGGAAGATGGACGATGCCTTGGTTTTTGTCAATTGTCTGTTTTTTGAGTTATTTCTGTTGGGTTTGGGAGATGCATTTGTTTGAGTTTATTTTATTTTATTTATTTATAAAATGTGGGTTGGGCTGATTTTAAGTTTTGTTGTGTTTCTTTTATGAATTTTTGGTTTGGTCTTGGTTTAAGAATTGTAATGGCACCTTTGTAATTTATTGGAACCCTGAGTGTTGTTTGGTTTCCTGTAAATGAGTTGCACATGGAGAAAGAGAGAGAGAGAGAGAGAGTTGTTGTTGCCTTTTTTTTTCTTTTTAGTTTTTTAATATTTAAATTTAATTATAGTTTTTTATTAATATTATATTTCAATTAAATAAAAAAGTGGGTCACACATGCAACATGTCAACGCTCAACAAATCTTTTAATAGTTAATTTAAGAGATATTTAGTCATATACCCATTTTTAGCACTAAAATTATAAATAAACCATACACTATTTAATTTATATAAACACACAAAAAAAAAACACAAAAAATGATAGCTGGTCATATTGAATTTAATTTTGATTATTAAATTACTTTGATGCCCTATTGAGTGTTTTGGGTTTTTTTTATGAGGTTTTGGGGTTAGGTTTGTTTTAAGAAATCAATGGCAATTTTATAATTTAAAAGAAGTTTAAAGTCTTTTCGTTATGTTGTAAATGGGGTTTGGGTGTGTTTTTAAAGTCCATTTCATATAGGGTTTTTTTATAATAATTTGGACTCCTATATTGGGTATAATAGTGAATCCCCCTTAATTTAATGATATAACCACATTTCAACAAATTTTCAAGAGTTAATTTCAGTTGGAAACCTAAACTCTCTCCCTTAAGGTGTGTTTGTCCATGCAGTCTCAATTTTAACAATAAGGGGTGAGAGTTAAGGGTACCAAATTGAAATTAACCAAATTTTCAATACTAGAGTGACAAACATATAGAGTTAAGGATTAGAGTTTTCGTCAAATCTCTTCATTAGTTGCATACATGGCATTTATGGATCCAACATTTTTGTTTTATGTTTTATATTTTAAATTGATTAAAATATGAGATGATTCCTTCTCCCTCCTCCCGCGATTTCTTCTTCCCTCCCTCGGGTAATCCATTCTCTCCCCCAACCCTGCCATTTCTTCTGCCTCCTCCTTCCTCCTGCAATTTCTTTTCCCTTCCTCCCGGGTGATTTCTTCGAGCTTGGACTAGGTTATTGGGTAGAAGAAAATACAGAGGGAGAGAGAGAGAGAGAGAGAGAGAGAGAGAGAGAGAGAGAGAGAGAGAGAGAGAGAGAGAGAGAGAGAGAGAGAGAGAGAGAGAGAGAGAGAGAGAGAGAGATGAGGTTTTTTTCTTACGTTTAATTGATTTGTAAAAATTATAACGACATTTTACCCTCTCGAGGTTTAGTTGACGTATCGAAATGGGCCATGAAGTTTAAATTTCATCAATTTCATATCCAACATTTTTAAATTTCACCAACTTATGCCCTCCATCAACTTCACAGTTAGATTTTCTGTTAAATTGGTGACGTGACAATTGTGGTAGCTACTTTTATGCTGATGTGTTGTGTGAAAAAAAAAAACAATATAGAATTATTTTTTTAAAAATTAAATTTTAAAACAGGTAGAAAAAAAAATTCTGCACCAACAACCACCCCTCTCTCTCCCAACCCCTATAGCTTTCATTGTCGACCACCCCGCCCTGCGCGTAACCTTGCCATTTAACAAAGCCAACAAAGGTCAGAATTTTCTCGCCGACCTTAGACAAATCCATCCCACCACCTTGGAACAAGAAAAACAGAACCAAGAACAAAACCTCAGGGGTGGCCCTAGGGTGCACAAGTGGCCCCACCGCATAGGGCTCCCGATTCTTAAGGGCCCCTGAAAAAAAAATTCTTTATATTATATATATTAATATTATAGGAATTGTATAGATGGTATAGCGTGCTAAATATTTGCACAAGGGCGAGTCTGGGGGAGTTTGCTCCTGCGCATGTTCATTTAGTGAAGCGCCAGAGTTCGATTTGCCTATTTTTATATTATTTTTGCATTATAACTAAACATGTTACATTAGGGGTGGGCATAAAAACCGATAAACCGATCAAACCGACTGAACCAATCCAAATCAAATCGAAAAAGAGTGTTTTTTGACCAAATCGAAAAAGTCAAACCTGGACTTGAACCGAACCGAAGGTCAACGGTTCGGCTCTCGGGTCTAAAAATTTTAAAACCGGTGAATCTGAACCGAACCGGTGAATATTTAAATATATATATTTTACACGTGGCATCGTTTGATTGGCCAAAAAAATATTAATGTGAGGCTGCTTGCAGCGGATCCCTCACTAATTTTTTTTTTCCCCGTAACCTCCCGCACGCGACTCTCACTCACTCACTTTCACTCAGACTTCTCTTCTCTTCTCTCTTCTATTTTCATTTTCTTTCTCTGGTTTTGACCTAAGGGGCTGCGTGCGGCGCCTTTCTCTCTCTCACCTCACCAAAGCTCAGATCTTCAATCGACCTCGGATCTTTGAACAACAACATCAGCGTCGCTCCTTCCTTCATCGATCTCTCGATCTGTCATCTGCCGCCAGGTATCATCTCTTGTCTCTCTCTCTCTCGTCTGGCTCTATGTTCCTTTCTCTCTCGTCGACCTAAGCCTAACCTAACCCACAACATCACCCCTCTCTGTTTCAGGCACGCACAGCACAAACCCTATCAATTCTAATACTTGCACACTTGAGGCAGCAGCGACAACCACCTCCCTTCCGAAGGTAAATTCTCCCTCTCCTCTGTACATTCTAGGGTTTTTTTTATTTTGAAATTTATACTTATGCTCTGAACTTGAGAAATTATTTTTGCATTTTATTTGAACGATTCTTCCATTCAATCTGTCTGTGCTCTGTGTGTTTTTTGATAGAGTAAGGAAGAAAGAGAAAAACATAGAGAATTAGAGAAAAACAGAGAAAAAATGCGAGTTTGATTTTGAGTATTAATTAGCTAATGTTTTGCCTATATCCGATGGATTTATGCTCTGAACTTGAGAATTAATTTTTGCTTTTTTTGAACAATTCTTCCATTCAATATGTCTGTGCTGTGTGTTTTGATAGAGTAAGGAAGAATTTGGTTTTTTGAACAATTTTTATATGTTTTATTATGGTTTGGGTTCTTGGAAGGGTGATCATATATTTGCAGTCTGACAGAAAAAGATATTTGCAGTAGGAGGAACTAGTTTCTGTATTTTTTTAAGAAAAGAAAAAGATTCAGATTTTTTTTTTTTAAGCTTTCGTTTGGTTGCTGAGAAAGTCAAGTTTAAATT